TGTGTGTGTATGTGTGTGTGTGTGTGTGTGTGTGTGTGCGTGTGTGTGTGTGTGTTAAAAGAGAGCAGTTGCATGCATGCATGCAAGATTGAGGGTACGGTGAAGCTTTTGAACAGTCAAGACCGGAGCTACCTTCACTCGCCTTCCACATTTCAACACACACACACACACACACACACACACACACACCTCTGTGGCCCACTTGGCGAGCTGGATGACTTCGTCATCGGAGATGCAGAAGCGCAGGCGGTCCTGCTGCTGCGTGCGAATGTTCTTGACGGAGAGCTTGCTCGAGTCTGTGGCGTAGATCATGCGGAACTGCTTTGCGCCGAGCTTACGGCTGATGATGGGGCGGCACCCTGGCTCATCCAGCATGGGCTTGAACACGTAGAACTGAGCGGCAGTGGAAGTGGAAGTGGAGGTGGCGGTGCGGGAAGTGTAGGGCGTGCAAAAGGGTGAGAAGGGCGTCAGCCAAGCAGTGTTGAACGATGGGATTGGAGACACAGCTTGGACAAGGAAAATAGGACAAGCGAACCCACATGTGCATGTACACACGCACACACTTCCACACACACACACACACACACACGCACACACACACACTTCCACACACACTCACACACACATATGTAACGCCCCTCCAACACGCACACACACACACACACACTTCCACACACACTCACACACACATATGTAACGCCCCTCCAACCCAGATGAGTACGCACCTCGTCTGGGTTGACGTGGCCCTGAACGATGTTTTCGCCCAGGCCCCATGCGCCGGTGACGAAGACCGTCTTGTCAAAGCCCGACTCTGTGTCGATGGAGAAGATGACACCGCTTGACGCAAGATCAGAGCGCACCATCTTCTGCACGCACACGGACAGGCCAACCTCAAAGTGGTCAAACCCTGCCGAGACGGTGGTGGTGGTGGTGGTGGTGGTGTGGGTGTGGGTGTTGGTGTTGGTGAGCGACGTTGTGGCAGCTGCACTACACTTTGTATGCGCATGCGCGTGCCTGTGCATGCTTTCAAGGATCATGTGCACAGTGCACAGTGCACACCCACGCATATGCATCCAATAACACAAGCACACCATACCCACCCACACCCACACCCACACTCATGCATACACCCACACACACACCCACACACAAAACAAACACTGCACACACCGTTGTTTTCGCGGTAGGCGATGGCGCGGTTCGTGAAGAGAGAGGCGATGCACGCCTTGCAGGATTCCAGCAGCGCCTTGTGGCCGCGCACGTTCAGAAACGTCTCCTGCTGCCCTGCAAAGCTGGCGTTGGGCAGGTCCTCGGCTGTTGCAGACGAGCGCACGGCTACGTCCGTGTTGGGGACGCCCACGTGCTCGCTCAGCTTGTCGTAGGCGGCTGTGATCTTCGCCTCCAGGTCAGCAGGGAGGTCCTTGGACAGGATCAGCTTGCGCACCTGCATGTGTTTGGCATTGGTTTACAGTGGAAAACGTGAGCGTGTTTGGGGGAGGGGGGAACAAACCACAGACGGACGTAAATTGGGTTTGGACGCGTGGCGGTGCAAGCGCCCGGGGGGGGGGGCTGCGATGAAGCCAGATGGATCATGCAAAAGCGCACATGCAACACACACACACACAGACACACACACACACACACACAATTACCTTGGCGCCACGCTCCTCAAGGTTGCGGGTGTCGGTGACATCGAGGCCTTGCATGATGGTGCGAATCTCGTTGCGAATGCCCGCCTTGTCCAGGAAGTAAAAGTATGCGCTGGCCGTGATGGCATACCCGTTAGGGATGTTGATGCCCTTTGGTGTCAACGCTTGGTACCTGTACGAGAAAAGGGACAATGGGGAGGGGGAAAGACGGAGATGGAGCGAGAGTGTTGGAGAGGGAGGGAGAAAGGGCGTGAGGGTTGATGGAGGTGGACAGATCGAGAGGTGAAGAGATGGAGAAATATGGAGATGGGGAGATGGGGAGATGGGGAGATGGGGAGATATGGAGATGGAGAGATGGGGAGATGGGGAGATATGGAGATGGAGAGATGGGGAGATGGAGGGACTTGCAGACGCACAGACACACACAGACGCACACGTACACACAAATACAGACACAGACACAGACACGCACACACACACATACACACGTACATTTCGCCGAGCGAGGCGTTCTTGCCGCCAACGACGGGCACATCTTCGATGCTGATCTCCTCAAACCAGAGGATGTGAGCGCTGGACTTGGTAGTGGAGGACGACATGGTGGCGAGTCGTGTGGAAGGCTGTCGTGTGTGTGTGTGTATGTGCGTGTGCGCTTGGACGTGAGAGAGTCTTCTTGGGTGGGTGAGGTGCGGAGGGAAATGGGGATCGGTCCGCTGAAGCAACAAAGCAACCCACACACGGCTCAAGCAACCCGCTGCGATGCAATGATGATGCCGGGTCCACTGTGATCTTGAGCCTTGCTTGCGTGCGATCGTGATGAAATCTGCTGTCTGCTTCGCGCGTCAACGCAACATCGAAACCCAAACAAACAAACAAAACGAAGCAAGCTGGGAAGGCAATTTTTACCTCTCAAGAAAGGGGCGCTTGCAACAAACTGCACTGCTCGCAGCACACAAAACGTGCAGTGCTTCTCAGGCTGTTTTCACCGCTAAACGCGCATTATTCGTCGCTGTTCTGTGGATAGCAGACTTCGATGTGCGTTTCTCGTTGTGTGCGACGTCGCCCGTCGAGTCATTACATTACTCTTCGCCTCAATTCATCCGAAGCGACGACACACGCTCGGCTGACCTTGTCTCCCCCCCCTCCCCCAATCGCAGCCATGCTCGCCCGCACCGCACTGGCCCTGTTCGTGGCCACTGTGGTGGTGACGCTTGCTGCATCCACAACTGCAGGTACGGGTGTTGCTGTTGTCGTTGTTGTTGTTGTCGTTGTTGTTGTGTGTTACAGATGATGGTGGCAGTCAGTCGGTGTGTCCTGTTCATGTTGTCACATCACATCACAGCGCTCCTGTTTTGATTGATCGATTGCAAGAGCTCTTCTTCCTCCCTCCCTCCCTTTTCCTTTGCCGTCACATTCCACATTGCGCTGTACTCATTTTTCACACACACACACTCACACACACACACTCTCTCGAACCCCCCCCCACACTCACACACACACACGCACGCACACTCACACACACACACACAACAGTCCAAGTGACGATCAGCCCCAACCCGGTGTCCACGACCTTCCGCGTGAATGAAGGTTTCAGCCAAGTGTTTGAGCTCAAGCTAGACGAGCCCATCATCTGCCAAGGCGACGCTGAACGCGGTGCGCTTTCCCTCATTTGCACCTGCACAACGTTTGCTCATGCGTATGATGCACGGGGTTGTTCCACATCACGAGTTGTGCTATGAAAATTGTTACAATCACACCACACAGACACAAGCACAAGCACAAGCACCACCTCAACATTCTAACCCCCTTCCCCCCATCCTTCCATGCTTCCATGATGTCATCACCACCTCACACACACACCAACACCAGAGTGCAACGTCGTCATCAAGCTGACCAACTCCCACCCCGAAGAGCTCGCCCTTGACTCTTGCCACGTCAAGTGGCTCCCCCACCAGTGGACAGAGTCCCGATTCATCACTGGTGCGCATTATCGTTTTGACACGACGTGCTACCTGCAGGAGATGTGCATCAAAATGCGCTCCAACTAACAGCACACCAACCACACAACAGACCTTCATTCACAGACTGCGTTTATTCACTCACGCTCACTTTCCAACACACACACACACACGCTCTCACACGCTCTCACACACACGCTCTCACATTCACATTCACACCCAACACTCACTCCCATACACACACACACACACACACAAAACAGTCCGCGCTGTTGAGGATTTCATTGATGATGGCGAGAAGGATTTCACCATTGTGACGGAGCCCATTGACAGCGCGTCGCTGTACTACAACGGCTTTGACCTGCCGGACCTGAGCCTGGAGACGGCCCCGCGGCCCTCGGCCGTGTGCCGCGCCACGGGCGACCCCCACTACCGCAGCTTTGACGGCCACGCGTTCCACATTTACGCCCCAGGCCGCGTCATCTTCTACAAGTCCACCGTGCGCAGGTTTGAGGTGCAGACGGACATGTACTCGTTCTCCCGCCCCGCCGTCCACTGCGCCATTGCCGCCCGCGAGGGCAACGACATTGTCGTCATCAGCCTGTGCGAGGACGGCCACACGGTGCGCTACCGCCGCTCCTGCGGCAGCACGCAGTGCGATTCGGGCTCCTACCCAAAGGTGGGCATCACGGGCTCCTCCAACCCGCGCTACGTTATCCAGTTTGCCTCGGGCGCCCGCGTCGATGCGCAGGTCAACTACTGGTCCGCCATCCGCCGCCGCTACATCAACGTCTACGTCACCGCCCCCGGCGTGGACTACGGCAACACCGTCGGCGTCTGCGGCAACAACAACGGCAACCCCAACGACGACATGGACATTGGCTACAACAGGTGGATCTACAACCTGGACCTGCTGTACGAGAGCCAGCGCCCGACGGAGAATCTCTTCTCCTGGTACCCGAGCGGCATCTCGGACGACGGCCCCACGCTGCCGCCGTTTGCGGAGGAGTGCGACTACCAGGACCCGCCCTTTGTCCGCCCCATCCTCAACAACCCGGACGTGGAGGACATCACGGGCATCCTCAAGAAGAGCATCCCCGCAGACGAGGAGGACGCCGAGGGCATCGACTTTGACGGCTCCGTCATCGCCGAGCAGCTGCCACAGGAGTGGACCCAGCAGGAGGCCGAGGCCGAGTGCAACAAGCTCAACGCCCACCCCGTCGCCGTGCGCTGCCTGCACCTCTTCCCGCAGTTCCCCATGGACGCCTTCCTCGCTCAGTGCGTGGAGGACCTGATTGAGACGGGCGGCGACCCGGACTTCCTCGCCGTCGCCGTTGACGCCCTGGAGGACCAGTGCGCCGACTTTGGCAACCGCGACCTCGACACCTGGGAGAAAGACGAGGACGGCAACCCGATGGAGCCCGACGGCGAGCTGCAGACGGTGCTCTGCCCCAACGGCTGCTCCGGCCACGGCCAGTGCGTCAAGTCCCGCTGCGTGTGCGACGAGTTTTTCACCAGCGAGGACTGCTCCCTGGACCAGCGCCAGCCGCCCTCGCTCGACCGCGCCGACCCGCCCCTCTGCGACACGCGCGGCCGCTTCGGCTGCCCCGCGGAGATCTCCGTGCTCGGCGAGGGCTTCTGGAAGTCGGCCGGCCTCGCCTGCCGCTTCAACGGCGACGTGGTGACGGAGGCCCTGTTCCTCTCCGCGCTCGAGGTGCGCTGCCGCGTCCCCACCGTCGAGCAGTCTGGCAGCAACCAGGTCACCCAGACCATCGAGGTCTCCATGGACGGCGAGAACTGGAGCGAGCCCTCGGCCTCGTTCACCTGGTACGACTCTGTGTGCCAGGTGTGCACCGCCCACGGCTGCGAGCCCAACGCGGACGCCTGCACCATCGACGGCGTCTGCTACCTCGCCTCCCAGACCAACGCCGCCGACGAGAACATTTGCCAGACGTGCCAGCCCGCGGTGTCCTCCTCGGACTGGAGCTTTGACTACACCAACGGCGCCGAGTGCGGGCCCAAGTTCACCTCCACCATGTACACGGGCCGCATCGTCGGCAGCGCCAGCCAGGGGGACGAGCTCGTCACCGTCGACGCCATGAACCCGCTCGTTGCCGGCGACGCCAGCAACACGGTCACCTACTCCATCCGCGGCACCAACCACATTCTCGCCGTGGACCAGGCCGGCCGCGTCACCCTCACGCAGGACTTTGAGGTCACCGAGGACGTGCTGCACAACCAGGCGTTTGAGAGCCTCGTGCACGTGGTTGCCACAGACTCTGCCGGCAACTCTGTCGAAGTCCCCCTGTACATTGAGCTCCAGCTCACCAACTCCCAGCCGCTCTTTGCCGAGACGCAGTACGTCTTCACCGTGGCCGAGTCCGCGGCCGTGGGCAGCGTCGTCGGCCGCGTCACCGCCGACGACACCAACACGGACGGCGACTGGGGCAACGTGGTGTACAGCTGGGCGCACGTCGAGGCCAACACGGGCGGCGTGTTCCTCGTGGACCCCACCACGGGCGACATCACCGTTGGCGCGGCCCTCGACTTTGAGTCCAAGGCCGCCTACAGCATGCGCCTCGGCGCCCGCGACGGCGGCGGCCAGTCCCACAGCACCGACGTTGTCATCAACATTGAGGATGTCAACGAGGCGCCGGAGGACATGCAGCTGTCCCCCGCCAGCGTGCCCGAGAACAGCGACGTCGGCACCGCCGTCGGCACCGTCTCCGTGACAGACCCGGACGCCGGCGACGAGCACACGCTCGCCCTCGATGCGGGCGACGCCGCCAACTTTGCCCTCGTGGGTGCAGAGCTGCGCACCGCGCGCGTGTTTGACTTTGAGAACGAGGAGGACAGGTCCCTCAGCGTGACCGTGACCGCCACGGACAAGGCCGGCAACGCCATCACGCGCACGTTCGCGGTGGAGGTGACCAACGTCAACGAGGCCCCGACCAACCTGCGCCTGGTGGACCAGCCCGAGGGCACCACCACCATCCTCGTGCCGGAGGCCGCGCCCATTGACCGCGCGGTCGCCGACATTGACGTGGACGACGTCGACTCGGACATTGTTGGCTGCACCCTCACCCAGACGGACGGCAGCAACTTTGTCATGCAGAACCGCCGCATCATCCTCGTGCAGGCCCTCGACTACGAGGCCGACATGGAGCACATGGTGGAGATTGTGTGCGCCGACGACCAGGGCGCCGCCTCCCAGCCGCTCGTCATCACCGTGCAGGTTGTCAACAACAACGACGGCGCGGAGAACGTCGCGCTCACCCTGGTCCAGGACCCGCTCCCGGAGAACACGGCCACGGGTACGGTGATTGGTGCCATCTCCGCGGAGGACCACGACGCCAACAGCGGCCCGCTCTCCTTCTCGCTCCCCGCCGACGTTGCCGGCATCCTGAGCCTGGGCGCGCCGGCGTGCCAGCCCGAGAACGGCGTGATGAAGTGCTCCGTCGCCGTCACGCTCGAGTCTGAGCTCAACTACGAGGCCACACAGGACGGCACCTTTGCCTTTGTGGTGAAGGTGGTGGACGACCAAGGCATGCTCAACGGCGTGGAGCTTGTTATTCCGCTGGAGAACTCCAACGACCCCATCACGGGCGTGGCCTGGGCCAACGGCGGCGGCAGCGTCTACGAGTCTGCCCAGCCCGGCGACATTGTCGGCGAGCTGGTGGTTGCCGACGACGACCTTGCGCAGACGTACACCGTCACGCTGGAGTCGCACGCGGACGTGTTTGAGGTGGTGGACTCCAACTCTGCGGAGGACCAGCGCCGCCGCCGCCGCGAGGCCGAGCAGGAGCAGCTGAGCAACCCGCAGGCGCCCTCCTCCGGCAGCGCCAACACCAACTTTGCCGCCACCATTGCCGTGCGCGACGCCTCGTCCCTCACCGCGGGCCAGACGGTCAGCCTGTCCGTGTCCATTACCGACGCGAGCGACGAGCCGCTCACTGCCACCTTCACCATTGACATTGCCGTGGAGAAGGAGCCCCTCAGCATCCGCTTTGAGGACGGCACGCACTTTGCCGGCGTGCAGGAGAACGTGGCTGCGGGCACGGTTGTGGGCACGTTTGTGCTGCGCGGCGTCCCCGCGGGCGGCAACCCTTCGATTGCCATTGTTCCAAGCGCCAACACGCCCACGCCGTTCCGCATCTCGGGTGACCAGCTGCTTGTTGACGGCGCCATCGACTACGAACTGCACCAGGCCTTCCACGTGGACGTGAGCGTGTCCTTCCCCAACCTCCCCAGCACCGCGGAGAGCATTGAGCAGGAGCGCTTCACCGTGTACGTGACCAACGTCGACGAGCCCATTGTCTTCACCAACATCCCGGACACGCCCGTCTTGGTCAACACGGACGCGTCGGTCGGCAGCACGGTGTTCCGCTTTGCAGCCGTGGACCCGGAGCTGCACGCCGTCACCTTCCGCCTCACACACGACGACACCAACGGCCTGTTCAGGGTGACCAGGG